TGGCCATCAAACCTGTCAAACCCCACCCCCCAACACACACACACACACACACACACACTACCTCCTTGAAAAAATCCCCAAATTACTATAAATGTTCATCTGGAGCTGTATGATTGTAAATAAACAGGTGAATGGTTGGTAATATGTTTTATTATTGTTATTATTTACTAAAGAAACAGTGTACATTAGCAGCAGATACATTAGCAAACAGTTCAGCTTATTAAAATTAATAGCTGTTATAATGAAACACAATCAGGCTATCAAATCTCATGAGTTGTTTCTTCACTGTGTAACTCACACATTCTGATTATACAGCAGTGAGTGAAGCTCTCATCTATTTACATTTTTTGTTTTTATCTCATTTAATAACAGGTGTCACTTTACAAATGCAATAACAATATAATGAAGGCATTCGATTGCTTTCCTGATTTTTTATGCCTATTTAAGATTAAATTAGTTGTGTTTGAAACAAAAAAACAAAGATGGACATCTTTAAATAATAATAATAATATTAATAATAATTTGTATTTATATAGCGCCTTTCCAGAGCTCAAGGACACTTTACAAGGAAAGCGACAAAAAAGATAAACAAACATACATGAAGTCAAATATAACAAACTGGAATTACACAAACAACACCTAGGAGACAATGAGCAGAGTGCAGGTGGATCAGATAACGTGGTCAGTTTGGCAGGTCAGAAGTGAAGCATTCAGAAAATAAGTGTGTCTTAAGTAAAGATTTGAACTCAGAGATATTATTAGCAGAGCGGAGTGAGCGTGGTGGAGAGTTCCAGAGTTTTGGTGCAATAACACTAAATGATCTGCCCCCCATTGAAGCCCAGATATTATTTAGATATTCTTATAGATATATAGATATTCTTTAGATATTATTATTATTAATAATATGCATTTATGTCTGTTTACACACGCACCCAAAACCCAGACTTTCTCTCCGCTTCAAGTCGCGTGTACAGAATGCGTTTGGGAAACAGCTTCTGTTTATCAGTATGGAGCGCGTCAGCTGACAGTCACGCACCGCTATATGACTGCTTTGAGGATTGCATAGTAGCTGTGACGGCACCTATAATGGAAAGGAAGGGGAATCGCGCTGAAACACTGAAAATACAGGAGAAACACAGGAAAATACCTTTACGGGATGATAGCGGGATAGAACTGTAAAATATGGGAGAATCCCAAGAAAAACAGGAGGGTTGACAGGTTTGATGGTCATACACCCAAAGCGCTTCATCATGAGGGGGGTCTCTCCACACCACCCCCAGTGTGCAGCTCCACTTGATGATGCTCCTTTAGCCACAGGACAACAGCGCCAGTGCTTCACCACACACCAGCTATAGGAAGAGTAAAGAGACAGTGATAGAGCCAGATCAGTGGATGGGGTGATTGGGAGGCCATGATCGTAAGGGCCGATTGAGAGACTCTCAGGACACAGAGGTTACACCCCTACTCTTTACCAGAAGTGCCATGGGGTTATTAATGAGCACAGAGAGTCAGGACCTTGGTTTAACATCTCATCCGAAAGACAGTTTTGGTCACATATGCACCCAAAATTTTTTCTGTGTGACCTCAAAATGTATTTGGCATTGTTTGTGCGAGTGCATAAAATTGTTAAAGCAACAGAACTCAAATGGATTGGTTAATATCAGCTGTCAATCACTGTCGAGCTACAGCCGAGAGAATGTAAAGGTCTGGATCTGACAGACTGAAAACAACACTGGCAGATTCAGTTTTAGAAACACCTTAAGTTACAGATAATGACACATCTGACCTGTGATCATGTGCTGAATGTCAATCCAGCATTTACACTTTTCCAAGAGTGGATAAAAGACTTCCAGTGGTTAAAGTGCGCTATGAAAATCACTAAAGCATTCACTGTAAAGCCGGTGGGACAGTTTTCAGGTAACAGTGTTTGCCACTGAATCTACACAGTTTAAACACAAGATGTTCTGTTATTTAATCCGTCATTTAATCATCACGATGCTGTCAGCTGTGTGACTGACACCGCCATCACCATCGCTAAAGAGCTGCATTCACTGAGATGAAACTGGTACTGCAGCTCATGAAAAGACGGTGGGTGAGACCAAAGTTTGTTTGGTACCCCTACATTTTTGAAGTTAGGAGCACCGGTGCTGCCAAGAAAAAAGGTTCATTTTGAGCCCTGAGCAGTGTCCATCAGTTGCAGCAGGGGTCATCAGCAGGCAGCACGGGTGATCAGTAGGCAGCAGTGGTCATCAGTGGGCAGCAGTGGTCATCAGTGGGCAGCAGTGATCATCAGTGGGCAGCAGTGGCCATCAGTGGGCAATAGTGGTCATCGGTGGGCAGTAGTGGGCAACAGTGATCATTAGTGGTCATCAGTGATCATCACTAGGCAGCAGTGGTTATCAGTAGGCAGCAGGGGTTATCACTAGGCAGCTGTGGTTATCACTAGGCAGCTGTGGTTATCACTTGGCAGCAGTGGTTATCACTAGGCAGCAGTGGTTATCACTAGGCAGCTGTGGTTATCACTTGGCAGCCGTGGTTATTACTAGGCAGCCGTGGTTATTAGTAGGCAGCAGTGGTTATCAGTAGGCAGCAGTGGTTATCAGTAGGTAGCAGTGGTTATCACTAGGCAGCAGTGGTTATCACTAGGCAGCAGTGGTTATCAGTAGGTAGCAGTGGTTATCACTAGGCAGCTGTGGTTATCACTAGGCAGCTGTGGTTATCCCTAGGCAGCAGTGGTTATCCCTAGGCAGCAGTGGTTATCAGTAGGCAGCAG